CGTTCGTCCGTGCGTACTCGTCAACCCCGGAGGTCATCCTGGGTCGCGAAACTTGCTTGGCGATTTTGTAATCATGCATCAATAGGCTAGGAGTTTTCTTGTTAATGCTTTAAAGGGCGAACGATGCAAATTTGTAATAGTGAGGCTTTCTACACTTGAAAACGACGTCAAATGGCAGCACGTTGAGGCAACGACCGTCTCTGAGTGTCTGCGGAGGTGGTATCAGGTGATGACTGAGCTTTTTCAATGTTATTATTAGAATACCTCGGCGCCCTCTTAATCTTAGCGCCGAGTGGCGGGACCGCTGATTTCTCCCTGCATTTTATTCGACCGCATCCCAGGGGCGACACCTAATCATCCAGCAGCAGCAGAAGTCAGTCTTTAAGTCCGAATAAAAGTTGGATGCTCTACGCGCTAAGCAGATGGGCAGCATGCGCAGGTGAGCAAAGTCTCACTTGCCTCCGGGATCCCTTTCAGTATGTACTGCACAAATTGATGTGGAGAATTCTTTACCAAAAGTATTTCAAGGGAATCATTTCGGTGGACTTGCGCGATTGCGACCTCCTTAGTCTTTTTTACTGACGCTTCACATGCTTGGCAGCGCATAGGCTGTGTGGCTGAGGTTCTCGCAGATTAAACACCGAAAGAGAGTACAGTTGCCCCAGCAGACCGCTAACCTGACGCCATCGCTTTGCATCACAGGAGATTGGACGGCCCTAATGTTCTTTAAAATTGTTTCCCAAGTGTATGCCCAATTCTCCTCTGCTTTGAAGTAAGTTCCACTGAAACTGATACGGGTTTAGTCTAGTCAGAATGTGGCGCCCACCGGTGCAGGCCCGCTGTCCTCTTCGTGCTGATTGTTCGGTCGAATTCAAGACAGTCGAAGGCGAGGAACTTCAAACCACGCTGCATGTTCTCTTCCTTTGTGGTGCTTAGTGCGAACCCATTTGCAAAAAATAGGTCATGAGTCTCGGCCTAGGATACCTCCAAAGATGCTTTCAGACGATGGATGTTGAACAGTTTTCCGACGTCCTGTAATTGATGTGTATCTGTTGTATCTCCTCGCGGTAGATATCATCAACTTGGTAGAGGAGACTGGGTTAAATACTACTGGAACGAGTACACAAACCTGCTGCACACCGTTTGTCATTGTCGATGCTACGGAGATTGTCCTGTTGCCCACTGCGAGAGTAACCATCACGCCGTGAAACTGTCTTACCATTCGTGTAAATCGCCCGGAAATCAGAATTTCTGCCTGATTCTCCAGAGTCCATTTCGATTCACTGTGTCGAATGCATTCGTCAGATTTGTGACAGTCCGTGACTTCTTGCTCTCCGTCATTTTTTCATGCGGTCCTTCTGTCCGCACCACGCTCCTTGTCGATTCGCTGTTGGGAGCGCGTAGGGTTTGTCTCTATCGAGAATCGAGCCGGCCCTTATCAGCAGCTTCACTGTCGTAGCCTTGCTGTCTCTATCCATCATATATACTGAATTATACTGAATTAAATACCCGCGTCTTCGCTTACTGTGTTGGTGTCCGTGTTTGGTGGTGCTCCTGAGGCGATATTTTTCGCGCTTATTGCGTTTTGCTCTTCGTTTTTTGGACTGTGACACTGACAAATTTCTTCTGGTCACCAAGGTTCTGCTGCACGAGCGTCCCTAAGTCAGAAAGCCTGTTTTTCTTTGGTTTTTTTGTTTTGGATATATGCTCACCCTCCACAAGTTTCATCTTCTTGTCTCGCATTCTTCGCGGTAATTGCGTACTTGTCACGATTTGCTGGCCGTTTGCTGGAAACGTACATAGAGCGGGCGCAGATTCTAGACGCGAAGGACATCTCATTCCACTTATCACCTAAAGAAGCGCTGGCGTGGTCGTACTATTATAGTTAAATAGCTGATATTCTGTAAACAGTGGGATGAGAGAATTGGTATATTTTCGATTTGGAGGTTATAATGAACTCTTCGGATTTAATGTGAGGAATTAAAATGAGTACTTAAAATTCAGCGAGCTAAAAAAGATAATATAAGTTTTACAAAATGCATGAAGTTTATCCAAAAGTTTCTCAGCGGTCTGCAGATTTCGAAGGACCTGAGTAACTTCAGGTCATGGAGGATTTGAACAATTGTTTTCCTAGGCTGCAGATAACCGCGAGTCGGCAGAGAAGTCAGTTGAACTGTGCTGAAAATTTAATTGTCCTTCACTCGGTTTCCTGACGAATTTCGACACCTGAAAAAAATCTAAAAATGCACAAAGTAATTCTGTAGGTACAGTTTCAATGGCAATATTGGAAAGAAAAACTGCGACGTTGTAGCCAAACCAGTGAAGTCCCAGTTAGAGAACAGAATAATCCCGGTGTGCTCGTTCGGGCTTTCTTGCCCAAATTTAGAGTCTCGAATCCACCACACGACTTGTTCGCCACATCCTGTCCTCTGCCTCTCCCGTGTTTTCTCGTCTTTGCCGTCTCCGGCCTGCACGTCTTACTGTCGCCAAGTCCGAGTTCGAGCACATGCTTTTGATGGGCATCATTCATTTATCAGAAAGTCCATGGTCCTCACTCCTTCTTATGGTCCCGAACGCCGCCATTGGTGACTGGCGCCCCTGCAGCGATTACAGGGCCCTGAACCACGTTACCGAACCGGACTGCTACCCCGTCCTGAATCTTTAGGATTTCGTCGGCATCCTATTGGGCATATCTGTGTTTTCGAAGATCGAACTGGTCTGCGCTTACCACCAAATGCCTATCGCTCAGAATGACGTTTCGAAGACTACCGTTATCACTCCCTTTGGCCTTTTTGAGTTCCTGAGCAGACCACCTGGACTCCTCAACGTCTCTCTGAACTCCTAGATGTTCGTAGGCAGACTTCTTTGCGGCCTACCACTTGTCTACGCATATATCAATGCCCTGTTGATTGCTAACTCAACCGTCGAAGAATATGTGGATCGTCTTGCAACGTAGTTTAATCGCGTTGTTATCAACCCCTCCAAGTGCGTCTTCGGTGTCCTCTTCCCAGAATATCTCAGGCATCTGGTCTACTCCAACAGCATCCATCCTCTTCCATTGAACATCGCGGCTATACGTGATTTCCCGCCTCCCTCTTCCGAACGTCCGCGGCAGCGATTTCGAGGCATGGCGAATTTATAGCGCCGGTCCCCCCCCCCGCACTGTGTCGACACCATCCTGCCGCTAGAGAGTCTCCCCTCGTGCTCGTGTTAACGGATCGCGAGTCTCTTCCCCTAGCTGTCAAGTCCGCTTCCGACAAGCTCAACGCCCTGGAAATTCGTCAATTGGACCACATTCCGCAATTTACTTTAGACATCCGTCACATCGACGGGCCACGCAATGAGGTGGATGGCGCATTCTCCAGGCCCTCCATCGCTCTTCTCCAGCTTTTACCCGGGATCGATCTTGCTGAGAGGGATGCCGAGCAATGCGGTCTTGGCTCTTCCTGTGACGAGGACGTTTCCGGACTCCAACTTCAGGACCTGCCATTGAATACTGGAAACGGTGCCACACTCTGTGGTGTCTCCACCTCCTCCCACAGGCTTTTGTTCCGCCATCCCTCCGCCGCAAATTCTTCCCCCCGCACAACCTATCCCACCTTGTGATTTAAGCTACCGACAAGCTGGTTTCCAACCGTTTCGTCAGTCTACTGTTGCCCTCTTGTTCTGGCAACCGCCCCGAGCACACTACAGAGCACGCATCTGAATGCGAAGACATAAACCCGTGGGTAGAGGGGAAAGGAAAACGCCATGACAGGATTCTGAAGTCACAGCCCGCCCTGATGGGTTGCTCAGGACAGTCGGTAGACAGTAAATGCGTGCGTCCAAGCGATGACTCCGTAAATCATCCTCGCCCACATGTAGCGCATTCACCGGAAATACTGAGTAAGGAGGACCATGCTCGCCAGCAGTGTCTGGTTATTCAGGGTTTGTCAGAATCGAATGCAGTCAGACCTGAAGACAGTGTCTCAGATGACCTTGCTTCTTTTCATGGTCTGCTAAATCAGTTACTCCCGGCAGACATGGAAATAAAGGTTCTGAAAACATTCCAGATGGGAAAAAGGAGTGAAGACTGGACAGTAGCACAACCACCTCGCCATCTGAAAATTATGCTGGAGAACGAAGAACAAATCAAGTTTGTCCTCTCTTAAAAAACCGATCTCAAAAACACACACAAACAGGTTTTTTTCAACCGGACTCTTCACCAGCGGAACGCTTGAAACGCCAGGAACTTGTCTTGGATTTAAAATCAAGACTGAAGGATGGCGAACACAATCTGGCTATCTTCAAGGGAAGGTAATTCGGAAATATATGCCGTTTCAGTGGAGCCAGCCTGTAATACTACGAACGACGGCAGCTACTCAGCCAAAACAGACACCTTCGTGGAACCACCTGATCAAGGCGCCAACACAAGTGAGCCCGTAGCGTCCAGTGATCTGACTGAAACAAGGCATATAAATGGAACCAATGAGGTAACGGAAGAGCCTAGAGAACACGACGTCCGCGATAACGGAGTAATGCTCACAGCAGTAACAAATGCAACGGGAAATTTGGCTGGTGCAAAACTGAGGTGCTTGTACACGAATGCCCAAAGCCACATATTGAAACTAGACGAACTAAAACTTTGCCTTGCCGAACTGTCTCCAGATGTTTTAGCAGTAACTGAGACCTGGCTGTCCGGGAATATTAGCGATAACGAAGTAGCCTTGCCTGGATACCAAATTTATCGGAGGGACAGGGAACATCGTCAGGGTGGTGGTATCCTTGTGTATGTGAATGAAGGTCTGGCAGTGTCGGATAACACCAGAAAGTTTGCGTGCAGTACGGAAGCTATCTGGTTGACCATCAAGGCTGCCGGTTCCCCGTGTCTCGATGTCCTCACTGTCTACCGACCACCTAGGACAGACCAGATCGCCGACACTCATCTATTTGAGCAGTTGGAGAAATTTTCCAGTCGACCTAACATCATGATCATGGACGACTTCAACGCACCAGGAACAAATCGGAATACCCTCCAAGCGTCGGGTCCAAAATCGGCATTCGATTACCACGTAGTGCTTATGTGGGATTATTCGTTATTCTCCATTTCACTTACTCCAGACAACAAAAGGCGTAATTTTTGGCGGGGCGACTTCAATCAGATGAGGGCAGACTTATCCGGTCTTGACTGGGGCTCATTGTTTACGGGAAGTGCCAACGATGACTGGGAGCTGTTCAAGAATGTCCTTCTGCAGCTCATCAACAACCACTGCCCACTGACTAGTGTAAGACTGAACAAACGCCCTGGGTGGCTAAAAAGCAACCTCAAGAAAGCAATCAACAGGAAGCACAAATTGTGGAGAAAATACTGCGTCACTAGACAAGCTGAATGCTTCAATACCTACAAGACATAGAGGAACAGACTGAGGAAGCTGATAATGAAGACGCGGTGGGAATTCGAGAAGAACTTGCTACAAAAAGCAACACAGAACCCAAAATTGCTCTACAGTTACCTCCGACGAAGTACAAGGAACAGGCATCAAATCCCCTTGATGAAGACTACTGATGGCGTTGAGATCGCTGATAGTAGGGATAAAGCTGCGTATTTTTCACGGTTTTTCCAATCAGTCTACACAAACAAGGCAAGGTTCATTCCTCCCTCCACAGAAGAACTGCCGACTCCAAGCGTCGGTGATATACTCTTCTCAGAAGGCATTGTCCGAAGTGAATTAGAGGCATTGAACGAATCGAAGTCGCCAGGACCAGACGAGATTCCATCCAAGCTTCTGAAGGAACTTGCCAGTGAGCTTTCTGTGCCTTTATCGATGCTCTTTCAAACGTCATTTGATACTGGAACACTTCCTATCGATTGGAAGCTGGCGCATATTACTCCGCTACACAAAGGAGGTAACAGGGCAGCGACGACAAATTACCGGCCCATAAGCTTGACATGCATTCTCTGCAAAGTTATGGAAATGATCAAAAAGAGTGAACTGATGCAATTTCTGGAAGTTAACGGCCTCCTATCGAACTGCCAACATGGGTTCTGAAAAGGAAGATCCTGCACGACAAACTTGCTGCAATCTCTCCAGAGCTGGACCCGAGCTCTCGACGACAGGCACGCGGTCCACAGAGCCTTCATCGACTCTCAGAAGGCGTTCGACACTGTGCCACACCAAACGCTCTTACATAAGCTGAAAAAATAGGGATCGGCGGCAACTTCCTTAAATGGATCGAAATCTTCCTTGTGGGTCGACACTAGGTCATGTGCATCGGTCGGGGAAAATCAGATCCCGCTATGGTCGATATTGCTGTCCACCAGGGTTCAGTACTGGGACCCATTTTGTTCCTTATCTACGTGGACGATGCCGCAAGAGATTTACACTGTGAAGTAGCAATGTTTGCGGATGACATGAAGATATGGAGTGTAATTCGGGGTCCTGCCGACGAAGACAGACTGCAGATGAACCTGAATCGGTTGGAGGTGTGGTCAAACCGTTGGCTCCTGCGGTTCAACGTTGCCAAATGTAACATACTTCGCCTAGGTAACACAGCCAGATCCGCCAGCACAAGAGGCTACTTTCTGGGCGATGCAGCCCTACAAGAGGCCGAAGTCCAAAGGGACCTCGTTACCTAAATCCATCCGCCCACTGTTCGAGGGTGGCAAAAAGCGCAATGTCCGTACTGTACGCCATCAAGCGTGCGTTTATGGACTTTGACGAAGACGCTTTCTCTAAGACATTCGGAACATTCATCCGGCCGCATTTAGAGTACGGCATACAAGCTTGGAGGCTGTGGGCTGTTGAGGATTAAAACTGCCTCGAAATAGTCCAGAGGAGAGCCACGAAGATGGTTAGGGGTCAAAGCTCCTTTCCATATGCAACCCGCCAAGTAAATCTAAACCTCTATCCTTTGAGTTACAGGCAACTACGCGGGGATCTCTTGCAAGCCTTCGGCATTATAAAGGGGTTGGATTGCAGTCTGGCCTTCGAGGACTTTTTTGAATTTGCTACCACAACCAACCTCCGAGGTCACCTGTTAAAACTGCGCACTCAGCAGGCACGGCTGGATGTTCGGAAGTTCTACTTGTCGGTTCGGGTGGTCAAACCACGGGGTGAGCTGCCCGCAGATGTTGCGATGTCACCATCTTTACAAAGTGTTAAGAAGAATCTGGACATATTTATGTTCCAAAATGACCAAGAGCGGTGAAATGTCGAGCTCACCCACTATAACCCGTTCTCATTTTGCCCTACAATTATGGGCGTGTTTGAAGTATTTCAGAGCAGAACATTTATCTGTATACCACACATTTTTTACGTCGCAAATAGGGTACTCGAAGGCTTAGACATATTTCCCTCAATAAATTGAACTGAACTGAACTGGACTGAACATACAGTACTCCAGCCACAGCACACACTTAATCTTCTCCTGTACCCTCTGTATATATTACCCGTAGTGGACGCCGCGTTCATTTTCCTGATCGTTTGACTACTCCTGTTTTCTGAGCGTTAACGAATTCCT